TTACTGTTTGTTCAAAGTCCCTTTGCCTTTCACAGAAGGTGAACTGTGAAAAGTTTCAGTTTTACTGTTCCTAATAAAATCAGGAAAAAAAGCGAATTCACCAACTAACAAAAAAAACCAGAAAAAAACTAAGAAAAATCAAGTAAAATGGAGCCTTGGAAAACGAAACTGCTGAAAGTTTTCTCAGTCGGTGGTTGCTATTGGCAAAGTGCTATCATTGAAGAAACCAGAATGCCTCCGTTCCTCATGAAGTGTGCCTTATAAAAGAAATTTGATTTAAGATTCATTGAAGGGACAGTCCAGAAATGAGATTGAGGATTACGAAAAATCTTCCTAACCTTATCAGCATCAGTAGCTTTGACGATAAACAGTGTTTTCGGAACATTGTAATCCTCTTCCGAAATCGTAATCTCATACAGATTTTTCTCGAACACCGGTGCATTGTCGTTCACATCATCAACGTAAACATACAAATCCGTCGTTGCATTGTGTTTACCATCCGTTACGAATAATTTCATATGATAAACATTTTCCTGAATACAGATTTTCCTAGTCATACCTAATTCAAGGACGTGTGCAGGCGTCAGTTCCTCTCAATGCCTAATGAGCATGACTTCTAGTCGGTAAGGTCCAGGAATGGAAGCACTTCAGACGAAGAAGTGTCGTGAGCCCTTTCTCGAAAATTGTTCTGGACCAGGAGGTAGTTGAACCATATCTTTTCGCATCCGAACGCGACGTACTACCACTATACCAGCGGTGCCCTTTGCTGGCAGCTCGTCTACTGTGTATCTGTCTTTCAAGGCAAGCTACACCTTTTCTCTCTACCTTGCATAGGCACTTTCCATGTTTTCTTTGTGACGGCTTCTTGGCAGCTTCTCGCGGGTTTTTCGGCGGGTTGCACCTCAACACACTCCAGTGACATCTCAAAACGGCTAAAGCTTTGCCAAAATACTTTTTTTAGGAGAATTATTGAGTTGGTAATTTCTTCAGAAGACAAAACGAACATTGGGGGTGTCAATAAATGGAACAACATTGGAAAAAGCAACTTGAAAAAATTGTTAGGGTGCACAATCGGAGAACTAGATTTTCAAATCAGGTATCAAAGTAAAAAGCACATATAAATGCAACCAAAGTGAGCCTAAATTCCATCTTAATTATTGCCACGCAGAAAAAGCAATTATAATTCAGGATTTTCCTTAATCCGTCAAAATTTCAACGTCTTTCTGAACTTCATACCTTTTCATAATCCAGTGGTTCCTTGACAAACAATGCGCCGGAATCAGTTCGTACGCCAAACGGTATTCGGCCTCCGTATACAGCATACAAATCATATTTCAGGTTTGATACTGTAATTTAAAAAATTCCTTACATCTGATTCTTTTAAGTCCTCGATCAAAAATCTGGAGGAAGAAATTTACGCTCATTTCTTATTTTTTGTTCAAATTCATCTTTTAAGTAGAAATTCTAAAGTAAAATAATAAACAAGTGCACAAAATTTAAAACACACGTCGATCTAGGTCGTAAGCTCGAACGGTGATTACGTCCTGATTGATTTCTGCATTTTCCGCAATCCGAGCTTCGTAACGTGGTTGATCGAAATATGGCGCATTGTCATTGATGTCCGCCACAAAAATTTGAACTTTAACAATATCTGGAAAAACAAAGGATATAAAAAGTCTCAGGTGTCGAAGGCTCGCTCTTTTGAGGTTGCATAGAAGCAAGCTGATGACGAATTTGACTCCGTGGTACGCGCCAGTACCAATTTACCACTGAACTGAATGAATGAAGGGATTTGTTGTCCCACTGGCGGGGCAGAAACCTCGGCCAACAATGCTTTTTACTACTAGTAGAATCGAAATTTAAATCTCCTACATGAC